TTTGTCATCTTAAACTAGGTGGAAGGCTGAGATTGGGAAGATCACCATGCCAAGCCAGTCCAGGCAGAAAACTCCTTGAGACCCCATCTTCACAGAAGGAAATGGGATGCTTGGGTGCATGTCAAGGAGGATAGCATGACTAAAGTAGGAGGATTGCAGCTCAGATCTATCCTGAAATGAACCAGTGAAAACAAGAGCTATAGATGTGACTCAGTGGTTTACTTGGGTTACATTTATGGGCCAAACTACAGCATACATCAAAGGAAAGCTGGATCAGAAGGGATTTTTCTAATGGTTACCAATGAATTAACTGAAGTATAATAGACTCTATGGAGGGGTCAAATGGTATAATCTTTTAGAAAGACTAGGTCAAAGCCCAACAATATTGACACCAGGAAATTGCTACCTGCAAGAAAGGAATGGGGCCAAGGGGGCCAAGATTAGACTAATGAAGGGGAAAGGGGAGAGAAGGCAGTCAAAAATTCATTGTACATACCACAAAACTAAGAAAAGTAAAGGAAGGGGTGGGTGGAATGCAGGCGCAAAAAATTGGTGAGGCAGTGACACTGATTAATTCGCATTGTAGTCATAAACGGCTTTGTTTTACGGCACTTGCTATGTACAACTACTTAAAGATAATAAAACAATGAAAATAGATGGATAAATTTGAAACTTGCTTAGGGCCAAACTGAATAATTAAAACCATACTCTGCTGCAGGCATTGGTAAAGTGGAGAGCTCGGTCAGCCCCTGTAGGGACTGGCTTGTCAGGGGTGGTGAGGGAGGAGGCAGAGGTGCGTGGGTTGCTGATGCAGAAACATGCAACCTGCTCACATCTGAGCCCTAACTGGTGATGCTGATCTCTCCCTGACAACCCAGGCCACAGTCAGGATCTAAACCGTTTCCATTTCTTACTGGCTATTTTTTAAAAATTCTCCATCTGAAAGAAGATATAATTGTTATATTTTCAGCTGTTATATTCAGTTGTTCTTGTCTTGGAGATGTGTCTTTATGGAAACAAGTTTAATTTAAACACACACACACACACACACACACACACACACACACACACACACTTTCTTTCCAAGGCCCTTTTGGCCTGTTTCTGGGAAAAAAAGATTTCCCTCAATCTTGTGAAGAGTCCATTGTTGCAGAATGTAACTCAGGGGCATGCCTCCACCACTTAGGTGAAATCAAAACACCAGAAACCATTTCAGACTTCCAAAGGGAATGGAGTTTGGGAGTGCTGTCGTTTGGATCTGGTATGGCTTAGTTGAAGGCTTGGTTCCTAGCTGGCTTTAAGATTGAGAGGTGACTCTCTCTGCTCTTTTCTAGCTCTTCTCTAGCTCTTCTCTTGTCTAGCTATTTTCTCTCTTTTCTAGCTCTCTCTTTTCTCCATCTCTCTTTGTCTCTCTTTCCCAGCTCTCTCTTTCCCAGGCCTTTCCCCACTGTGTGGAGGATCAAGATGGCCTGGTGCCAGCCTGAACGATGAATAAACCTACCCCTTACCTGAATACCACGTGCGTGGTGCAGTTCTTACTTGGCTACCTCTTTTTAAAAACCTAACATTAAAAAAAAAAGATTGAGAAGAGATGAAACCTTTAAGAGTTTAAGAGACAGACCTAGTAGGAAGAAGTTAGATACCCTGCAGTGTGCCCTTGAAGCTGTTATTGGGACCAGTTCCTTTCTGTCTTTATTTCACTTCGAGCAGCCATGGTATAAACAACCTCCTTCACCCATGTCCTCTTTCAGGATCAAATGTGCCTTTATTAATTTAATTTTTTTTGCTGGCATTTTGCTCAATGACAGAGAGGTGATGAACACAGTGAGTTTCTCTCATTTTCATCTCACAGGATCAATTGCTCCCAGGTAAATATGATTAGAGCTTGCATTTACAGATGAGGAAACTGAACCTTAGAAAAGACCAGGTACTTGCACATTGAGCTTCCTATCTCAAAGGTAGCCTGATTCTAATCATGTTTCCAACTTCTACTGTCTTTTTTTCCCTTCTTCTCCTTTTACCCCTTCTCTGCTTCCTGTTTCCACTTAGATTTATGTGTATTTCCAATGAGAATAGGATGTATCAGGGACAGGTGATTAGGTAAATCAATCAGGACAGAACGAGGGCCATCAGAAGTGGTCATGTGACTGGTGATTAGTGTTCTACCAATCAGAATGAATGGCAGGGCTTCAGAAAAAAGATGGTACTTTTTTTTTTTTCCAATGCCATTCCTGGGGCTTTGAACTCAGGTCCTGGGTGCTGTCTCTGAGCCTTTGTCCTCAAGTCTGACTGACTCTACTACTTGAGTGTCGGCTCCACTCTGGCTTTTGGTGGGTAAAGAGTCTCATAGACTCTCCTACCCATGCTGGCTTCAACCTTGATCCTCGGATCTCAGTCTCCTGAGTAGCTAGGATTGCAGGCGTGAGCCACCAGTGCCCAGTTCATCTCTGTAACATAGCAGTGTAAGGGTGGGCTTTCTAGCTGCTGACTGGATTTGCTATTACAGGAAAGACTTTTTAAGGGCAAAGCCAACTTTCAGGGAAGGACTGAGGAAAAGAACCACAGAGAGTTGAAGGTAAAGGCTTGACAACAGCAAGAACCTCCCAGAAATCACTGGCAGACACAGGAACTCCTCAGGATTCAGCACTCACAAGAGCCAACATATCCACATATAGTTAAATCACACCGAGTTGTGTTCTCTTTTACAGTCAAAAACTTCCAAGTGGGGCAGGGACCTGTCCCAGAGGGCTCACCACCATTCTGGCCAGACCTTTGCCTAACGAAAATTTCCTGGAACACTGGAATTTCCAGTGTTTTTTTTTTTTTTAATGCTGTATACAAAATGTTGGAACTTCCTCAAAACTATGAAGAAGTCTGAGTAGGTACCAATGGGTAGACCTGGCTGATTCCCATGACAGACTTGGTCCTGGGTAGAAAATAATCCTGAACCGAACTGTTGCTTTCCCGTCAGAACTCTACTGTAGATAAATCTTCGGAGTTTTTGATGGCTTGTTTTGAAAAAGTAGTAAAGGCTGTTTATGAGGAGAGAAGCAGCTTTGGGTTATTTGATAGATTGTCTGAGACTCACAACCCCTTCTCTTCCCCAAGATAGCTGCCTTCAGAGAGCCTGGTTGTAGTACCAGCTCCCCTTAACATACCCTGCCTTCTGGGCTACCCAATCCATAGCCGATCTTAGCGATTGTATTCTGGCTGAGATAAATAAATGTTGATCATGACTTTGGCCCTTTCTCCTTCCTTTTAATAGTAGACTCCTAAACACTAGAAATGTTCTTAACTTGCATAAAACTCATGGTGGGGAAAGTTAATGCTCATGGCAGGACATTCAGACATGGCCCATTTGGGGACAGAGAAACATTTTCTTTTTCTCCTATGTTGTGTCCTTAGTGACATTGCTGAGCACTGATGTATTCACTCAGCCTGTATTTACTTGAGTCTCTAACATACCCCCTCCCACCACATACATACAGACACAGACACACTGTCAAATTCAAGTTCAAGGACAAAGGAAAAGGAACAGCTGGGTTCATTCATGTCCTTGGCAGGCTGTGACTCTGAGCTCTGGGACATGGGAGTGTGCAGAATATCTGGAGAGCCCGTGCTGGCTGTGGGATTATGCACCAATAAAGGATCTGTGTCTCAAATGCGAGGTTGTAGGTGGTCAGAAATGTCTTGCTCATGTGCCTAACAGTGCTAACCCTTATTGTGACCAGAGGTTTGTCCTGAGCCTGGCACCATCATGCCTATTTTTTTCTCCTGAGCACTATGGGCTTAGATGGAGATACAGCTATGTATCATTCTTGTCTCTCCACAACCCAGAAAAGGTTTAAAGGTCTGGTTTACCCGTCATTTATAGCCAGCCATTCCAGGTAGTTGAATTATGTGTATATAGGAATTACAAGCACCTAATAGTTTTCTGAACTATGGAATTGTTTTTCCTCCTTTAATCTACCACAATGGTAGTCTTCTGGATGTCAAAAATGAGTAAATGATACAGTCAACCAGTCCGCCCTACTGTACCCCTTGGCAGAAGCAACCATTAGGCCAACCATTAGGCACAGGGGAAGGAGCGGGTGGGAGGAGCCACACTGTGGAGGAGGGGTTGCGGAACTTAGGTGCTACCTTCACATGCAAGATACGAGAACTCAGAGCTTCTGAGGTGGTTTCAGCTATACTTGGTAGGCAGCTTGCTTGTTCACTGAGGCATTAGAGGAGGATTTCCACACAGGAATGAATGAACCCACTACTGGACATGTGGTTTCTTAATATTTCAGGAGACCACTAGCTGTATGCTTGCAGGGACAGTGTTTATTTTGCTCCCTGGTGCATCCTAAAAGCATAGTGTCCTATATGTAATGTTCAATAATAATTCCTGGAAGGAAGGAAGGAAAAGGAAGGAAAGAATTAATGTCATCATATGCTGAGGCCAGGTATAATTATGTTTTGGGGGTTGGTATACTTTAGATCTTGAATGTTCCTCCAAAGACCCATTGTTAAAAGCTTGGTAATTGGGAACTGATGGAGCCTTTAAGAGGTGGGCCTATGGGAGGTCTTTAGGTAATTGGGGGAGGTGTTCTTGAAGGGGATTACGGGACCTGATCCTTTTTATCCCTCTTACTCCTTCTGTTTGTGAGGTGAGTTTGTTTGGCCATATAATCCTACTGTGCTTTGTCATAGGTTAAAGTATCAGGGCCAACAATCGTGGACTTGAATTTCCATGTATTTGTTAGAGTGATGGCAAGCTGATGGAGGTAAAATGAGTGTGGATCTCAGTTATCACCTCAACCCACCCCGGTTCAAGTGCATAGATACTGCCCAGGAGCAGCAATGGCACAATCATCCCTGATCCTCAATTTTTGGCAGGCCACCACCCTTTTGACTTTCCTAGAACTGCTCTGCTGTATTGCTGTATCAATGGAAGAAATGGTCTGAAGGAAATGGCTCAATAGCACAGAATTAAAATTGTTTGTACAAGCGATGAACACAGTTGTGGGACACCTGGTTTTATTCTGGGAAACTGAGGGGAAATGTTCTTCAAGTGTGAAATGGATGTGAGTCTGAGAAGGCATGACCCTGAAGTCTGGTGAAGCCACCCAGAGTGTCCTGGAAGGTGGATCATTCCAGAGGCCTCATTCTATCCACAGAGCCTGGTGTCACGTGATCCTAGAGCAGACTTTGGCAGGTATACTCCAAAAAAGCATCACCTTAGAGCCATTTTCTGTCATCTCTTATAGAGTAGGTGGGTCTGGGGGTCCTGGAGTTCCCATGAGATTCAGTTTCCAGGCCAGTCAGGAGCAGGTAACAGTTGCATTGGCACATGCCACGGTGGAGCGTTTTTCATTGTATAGTTCCAGCAAGACCTGGTATTCTCCCTGAAAGGGACACAGGTAAAGTATTAGGGGAACGACTCACAGTCCAGTCAACCATTTACTAAGTACAATCATTCCTCCACACGCATGGCATCCATGAAGTCAACACTTGATTGAAAGACAATTGCATCTGTAATGAACATATACTCTCGGAGGAGTGGGAACTGATGGAATTAGGTAGTGGAGTTAGGTAGTCGTTAATAGGATGCTAATAGGTATTAATAGGATGTCTCTGGCTGCTAGCTGCAAAAGAGGCTGTAGCTGGTGACGGTGAAGCCAGGAGGTAGGGAGTACTGCAGGTCAGGGATGGGAATGACTTGGGGGGGCGTTGGGGAGAAGAGTAAGACTCTGGATAGATTTGAAAGATGAGCTAGTAAGATTCCCTGTGTGTATACAAGATGCAGGGTACCGGAATCAAATACAGTGAAAACAGGGGTTATACCGTGGAGGAGGAACATACCAAAGAAACAAAACTTTACAACTTTGGTGGGAGGGGGTGAGGGGTGAGGGGTGGAAAGGGGTAGGGGGGAGTAGTTGGGGAGGTGGGGAAGGAAGGGATGGTAAGGGAAAAACAAAGGAGGAGGCAACAATGCTCAATAGGAAATGTACTCATTACCTTACTCATGTTACTGTAACCCCTCTGAACAGTATTTTTACAATTAAAAATGTGTATATATATGTATATGTATACATATATATGTACATATATACATATGTATATACATATACATATATGTATACATATATACACACACACACATATATATATATAGATATATATAGATAGATATATATATGATTTCCTGTGTGGAGGAAGGATAGATGGGCTAAAGGTGACTCCAAAGCCTCTGGTCTGAGCAACTAGGATAGCCAGAGCCTATTCCTGGGGTTTGGTTGAAGGGGAATAGGTGGCTATGTCTTTTAAAACCAAAATAACCACCCCCCCAAACCTAAAAACCCAACTCAAGCCAGGCATAGTGGCTCATGACTGTAATTCTAGCTTGTCAGTCAGAAGGCTGAGATCTGAGGATCACAGTTCTAAGTCAGCCCAGGAAGATCAATTCAAGAGACTCATTTTCAATTAACCAACAAAAATCCAGAAATGGGACCATGGTTCAAGTGGTAGATTGCCAGCCTTGAGTGAAAAAGCTAAGGGATAATGCCTATACCCTGAATTCAATCCCCAGTACCAGCACTAAAAAAAAGAAAGTATTCAATATAAAAGTTTTAAGTCCCATAGCCTAGAAGTGAAGAAAGATTGGGTTTTCTTCTTTTACAAGACTTTTAAATTATACTTAAAAGCTCTAGGAGAAAACTCTGGCAAATTCCAGAGGCTGGAAAGTCTCACTGGGAGAAGAAAGCTAGTGGAAATCCAACATGGCCACTGAGATGATGGCGGCTGAGATCATGTCAATTTAGCAACTCAGAGATTGGGATGGGAATGAAACAAATCCTTGGAATGCAAGTCAGTTGAAGAGAGAAAGACACTGAACTTCTTTCGGGTTGTGGATGCCCAAGAAGATGAAGTGGAAAAGAAAGCCTTGTAAATTATTGCATACTTTTTTACAATTCTTTTTATGTATTCCATCAAATTCTTCCCGTAGTTGCATACTGAAAATGTATTACCATGTCAGAGTGACCCAAATCCAGACATTTCATAAATCTCATTGTGTGTGTGTGTGTGTGTGTCTGAAAAAGGAATGTGTCACAGCTCTAAGTCCTACCAGCAAATACTCAGGATAGGAGCTTCTTGTTTACTTCGTGGAAACCTGCTGGGTTTGGAAAGTTGCCAGCTAAAACTGTGTTGAAAGTCAAATCCCCAGAGGCCTTATTAAGAGGTTGGACCAAGTAGAACCTTTAAGAAGTAGTTAGGTCATCAAAATGGAGCCCTCCGGAGTGGATTAACTCATCCATGGACCAATGGGTTAATGGGCCAGTGGCTTTTCTGGAGAGCAGGGTTTGTTATAAAATCCATTTTGCCTCTGTGTCCTGTGATGTCTTGGGCTGCCTCAGAAATCTGTGGGGATGCCAGCTGAAAGACCCTCGTCTGATGCTGCCCCTTGACCTTGGGCCTCCCAGCCTCCAGAATGTAGGTCACATAAACCTTTATTCTTTAGGAATTACCCATTTTTAGCTAGGCAGTAAGAGCAATCTAGACTGGACCAAGGCACAGTTTGGGGCAGAGATGCTGTAAAAGCCTTTGGGGCTTTGTATATTTGCCTTCATTGGAAGTCCAGCCTCCCCCAAGCACAGCTCCTAGCCTGCCTACTGCCTCTTATGCGCTGCTATCAGCCCTGGGCATGTGGAGATGTAGAGATTAAAGATCCTGTGGACAAGACCCAGCAGCTCAATTCTCTTTTGTGTGTGTGTAGGCCTGGCATTTGAACTCAGGGCCTGGGCGCTATCCCTGAGCTCTTTTGCTCAAGGTTAGTACTCTATCACTTTAAGCCACAGCTCCACTTCCCTTTTCCTGGTGGTTAATTGGAGATAAGAGTCTCACCAACTTTCCTGCCCAGGCTGATACTGAACTGGGGTGATATTCAGATCTCAGCCTCCTGAGTAGCTAGGATTATAGGTGTAAGCCACCAACACCTAGCTTTGAGCTTCTTTTGCTTAAGGCTAGTGCTCTACCTCTCAAGCCACAGCTCTACTTCTGGCTTCTTCTGAGTAGTTTATTGGAGATAAGAATCTTACAGACTTTCTTGGCTAGGCTGGCTTTGAACCACGATCCTTAGATCTCAGCCTCCTGAGTAGCTAGAACCATAGGCATGAGCCATGAGCATCCAGCAGCAGTCCCATTCTTAGTGGGCTTTGTGCCTAGAGGATTCTTGAAGGTTCAATGACACATCAAAGGCTAAAATCAAACATGTAAGTGCCAAATATGTAAGTGCCCACTGTATAGTAATATCTCTCTCTACTGCTTAAATAAGGGTATGTGTGTGTGTGTGTGTGTGTGTGTGTGTGTGCGCGCGTGTGTGTGTTGGTACTAGGACTTGAACTCAGGCATTTGGTGCTTTTTCAATCAAGGCTGGCATTCTACCACTTGAGCCACAGCTCAACTTTGGCTTTTTTTGTTTGTTTTGTTTTGTGTTGGTCCTGGGGCTTGAACTCAGGGCCTGGGCGCTGTCGCTGAGCTTCTTTTATTCAAGGTTAGTTCTCTACCATTTGAGCCACAACTCCACTTCTGGTTTTTTTGATAGTTTATTGGAGATCAGAGCCTCATGGATTTTTCTGCCCAGGATGGCTTAGAGTCTCAGTTCTCAGAGCTCAGCTCCTGAATAGCTAGGGTTACAGTCCTACCAGGGCCCAGTTTAAACAGTCTTGCTATGTAGTCCAGGCTAATCTTGAACTTGAGGTTTTTCTGCCTCAGCCTCACCTAATCGAGATTACAATCATATGCTACTACACCTGGCTAGAAATTGTTTTCTTACTGACAGAATACAGATTTTTTTTTTTTTGTCATGGGGCTTGAACTCAGGAATACTGTCCCTGAGCTCTTTTGCTCAAGGGTAGTGCTCTACCACTTTGGTGATAATTGGAGATAAGTCTCAGAGACAGACTCTCTTGCCTGGACTGGCTTTAAACCATGATCCTCAGATCTAGTTTCTTAAGTAGCTGGGATTACAGAAGTGAACTACCAGCCCTGTGCTCAGGAATATTTTAAACTGTTTCATTCCTTACTTTTGCTTTTCTTTGTTTTTCCTTTTTCCTTTTACTTCTCTCCTCTTTCAAGAAATAAACTGTTCAATACAATAACTAAATAACAACACAAAACAGAAAACTACAATCTTACCGTTGGAATAATTACACCAAGATTATTGATGGGACCCGCGTAATAAAGTTGCTCTGAAAAACATAAAGCATAGAAAATGTTATTCAATCATTTAAAAACTATCTGTGTTGACGGATGACAATTGTGGATACTAAAGTGTCATAATCAATAGCCACTAACAGAAATGCTTTATTTAGCTTCTTGATCCCAACAGACTCTTCATTCATTTGCTCATTTATGTGATTACATCTTTATTGTTCTTTTACCACATGGCAGGCACTGGGGAGCCAGGTACACATCGTTTACTGTCTACCAAATAGACTGATAATACTGAAAGAACTAAGCATGACAATATCTAGGTTGTAAAAGGTGCTTAAAAGAAATGAGAGAGGGGTTGATATGGTGTGAAATTGGGGCTGGAGCTAGGCTGCACAGGATGAAATTGTGAGACCATTTCTCATAACTATTTGACCTCAGCCTTGGATGCACATTTTGTCTTTAGTCTGGGGTTCTTTGTTTTTCAGTCATTCTAATGTAAACACAATGCCCTCTTCACAGAGTTGTTAGGACTTGAGAGTTCATCAACATAGACAATGGATAACGGCATCTGGAAAGCATTTGATGAGTATTTGCTAGCCCTGGGACCCAGGGACACAATATGTGACAGAATGGCTGGTGCAGGAAAGGCATCTCTACGGAGACTTTGGAGTAAGCAATGGGTGTAGCTCGGTGGTAGAGTGATTGCCTAGCATGTGTGAGGTCCTGGGTTTGATCCAAAAGAAGGAAAGAGGAAGAAGGAAAAGAAGGAAGAAAGGAAGCAAAGAAAGAAAGAAGAAACAAGGGTGGGAGGACAGGTGACAGAGAAGGAAGGGAAGAAAGGAAGGAAGAAAAGGAAGAAGGGAAGGATGGAAATAAGGAAGGAAAGAAGTAAGAAGAAAGCAGGAAACTAAGAGTGAAACTAAGAGTGAAACTAAGTCCTGAAGGCCAATGTGCCAACTACTTCAACAGCCGAGAGAAGAGAGTTTTAGAGCAGCAGAGTACAAACAGAGGCCCTGATGGGGATAAAAGACAGATGGGAGGTGTTTGCTGAAGCAAACTGGATCATCCTGGAGAAGCTTGGATATATGGAGAGGCACAAATATTTTAGCACATTGAAGGCAGGGCAAGAGTTTGGGCTTCTGTACCGAAAGTAATGAAAAAGGTGTTACAAGCTCCCGTAAAAACCCTTGGGAGAACAGAAAGGGGAAGTGATGGACTGGGTAAAGGTGGAGGTGGAGAACCACCAATGAGAGCTCGGCATTAGGAGACAGGACTCAGGCCGAAACGCTATGGAGAGTGAAGGCCAGGAAGCGCTACAGCCCACACCTCTGGCTAAAGGAAGGACCAGGTGGAAGAACCTGGTGAGGAGAAAGCCATGACTAAAGAGCTTTATTTCCCGGAAATAGTTAACGAAATGTCTTTGAAGGCAATTTATGGAAAAGGAATTTTGGGTAAGAGAGTCAGTTGAATGGAATTTCTCAAGGTCCTACTACTGGGGAGCTAGAAGGTGGAGGAAAGTTTTGATGTGAGATTTTAGGAGTGAAATATATCTATACCTATATAGCTGTATCTATATGATATAGATATATGCAGTTTCAAGTCATTTAAGTCTTTTTATTGTTAATATAAAGGTGATATACAGAGGGTTTACAGTTATATGTCAGGTAATGAGTACATTTCCTTTTGGACAAGGTCACCCTTTCCTTCACCCTCTCCCAGTTTTTCTCTATCTCCACCCACTCATTTTCAGTAGTGTCTAGTGAGAATACAACTGTTGTATTTGTTCACCCTTTGCCCCTCCATTTTTGTGCCCCACTTACCCTATTGAAAACAGACTAACAAGACAAAAAGCAAGAAACAAAACCAAAACAGCAACAAAGAAAAAAGAACCCTCCTATTTTCATTTTCTGGAGATCATCTCAATAAATATGGTTGTCTATGATCAGATGCCTATATGCATTGTGCCTTTGTGTGAGGAGCGGTGCATTTTTACAGTCTGTGACAACATCCAGGATTGACGTGACAGGTGGTGAGGATGGGGAAGTGGTGGTTGGAGGTAAGGAGGTGAAAGGAAGTGCAGGCTTCAATACTGAAGTCAGCAAGAGGGAAGAAGCTCACCAGCTCCTCAGGTGATTACTGCCTTCTGATTCGTGGGACCATGAACTTAGCACCACAGTGGCTAATACTTCAGACTCTGGGGTCAGACCATCTGAGGTGAATAGCTGTTCATCTTCCTATTAACTCAGACAACCTGACTTTCTTGGGCTCCAGTTTTCTGACCAGTAAATGGAGTGACAGTGACACCCAACTCACTGAGTCATTATGCATCAGCACCTGGCCCAGGCTAAATACCCAATACATGTTTTGCAGTCCACACTGGTGGATAAGCTCAGGAGCTCTATGGGGGTGCTGTATACAGCAGTGCACATGAATGATTTGTGAAGAGCTATTTAAGTCACTGGCCACCTGGGAGTGTAAATCATTGGTTTCTGGGGCTGTTTATTTTATGGGATTCTGTCTTCTTGTTTGCATACCTCCCACTGCACTGTGGTATCTAACTCAAACAGGGCTGTTGAATGAGGCGATTGAATGAATAGAGCCAGTGTCAGCACACAGGTTTGCTAATCCATTTCATTCATGCTCTAATTCACCCTTTCTACCTGCTGGATGGGTGGAGCCTGGGATGACATTGGATTAAGGAGCAAGCTGTTCAGAGTACTGATGGGGTATGGACAGGTGTGGGCAAAGGGAAGTAAATAAACACTGGGTTATTGATGGTATTGCATCAAGCTCTTTTGATGATATAGTGGCTTCCTGCTTTGCCCAGCACCTGTCTTTCCATAACTGCTCAGAAAATATTTTGGAATATTCAAACTGTCCCTATTCAAAAGGTCTTTGGACCAGGGACAGCATGGCTCTTATATAAGCAGTTGCCAAAATTGAGTGAACGCAAAGGCATGAGGATAAGTTCCCTTTTAAAATGCCTCTACAAACCGGGCTTTGGTGGCTCATGCCTGTAATTCTAGCTACTCAGGAGGCTGAGATCTGAGGATCATGGCAGGAAAGTTCATGACACTCTGATCTCCATTAATCACCCAAAAGCCTGAAGTAGAGCTGTGGCTGAAGTGGTAGAGTGCTAGCCTTGAGCAAAAAAGCTAAGGGACAGCGCCCAGGTTCATGTGCGTGTCTGCGCGTGCACGTGCGCACACACACACACACACACACACACACACACACACACACACAACTCTGCAGGGCAATCAGGGATTGAAATCATGGGACAGAGGACAGGAGACTAGTTGTTAGAATAGCTTTTGACTTCTCTTAATACCCAGGGTCTCAACATATCTATCCTTTCTTTCCTTGGTCAGTTCTTGGTACCAGACAGATGTAACATGCAAATACACAAACATAACATGCATATATATTCATGGGTGGTGTCAGTTATTCCTTTATCCACACTAAACATCCTGGGACATGACCTGAGAAATGCATCTTTTGCTATGCACAATTTATTGTGCAAACATTATTGTGCAAACATCGTGGAGGGTACATACACAATTAGGTGGTATAATCATATGGGACACCATCAGATATATGGTTTCTGATCGGCTGAAACATTGTTTTGTGACACATGGCTACTTGGCTTGGGATAAGCAGGAGTTTTACTAGAAACTACTAGTTTGGATGATGTGGTATTGAAGGCAGAGATGTCAAAGTTCTGGATCTTATCTTTAAGGACCTTTCGGTGTTGCTGGGGAAGACACAGTAAGAATCTACAGCAAACCCTAATTGTGAAGAGTGAGGGCACTGAATCTAAGTGTGGAGGTTTTGTGGGGGCAGGGAGGGTGGTTCCCCCTGGGACCAACACATTTTCATGCCGGTTCTTTGTGTATCCCAAGGGAAAACCCTTCTTGGCATCCCAGCACATGTGCAATGGTGTGTCCCAGTTAACAATCTAGGACTTATAGGAAGTTATCTTTTTCCAAGTGGATATACTCTGCCCGGACATTAGAGCAGAAGGTCAAGGAGACCTCTGCCTGGACCCTTCTGGTCAAAGGTAATTTCATTGCAATCCCTAGAGCTGTCAAGTTTCTGCCTGGCTTTCTGCTTTCTTATAACCTCTGTGACTCCTAGATGCCTTTTTCAGAATTACTCTTGATTTGTTCCATGGAATGGGTTTTTGCAATCTACAACTCAAGGATGTGATTTCGAGGGGCACGAAACACTTGAGTCGCAGCTGCCATGGCTTGGGAGTTAGTGTGGCCTCAGCTCAGAGTCTGAGAATGAAGAATGGATGTGCCAGGCTGCGTGTGGCCCAGTTTATGCTTCCATGCATTGCTTTGGATGGCATAATGCAAAAGACTTGACCTAGGAGGAGTTCATGACCCAGTGCCCCTACTCATTGGCCAAATGATAGTGGGCCATTTGCTTAAATGTCACCCCACTCAATCCTGTCCTTACAAAATGTAACTTGGAATGGCTGCTTGCTAGCAGAGGAGGGTTAGAGAACAAGCATACTAAGCACAGCAAGGTCCCCAGAAAGGGGAGACACAGTAGTTCCGTTGAATACACTGCTGAAATATCGAATAAACTAGGTTTTGGGGATCTTTTGGTGGAGCCATCATGCACAATCGTTAAATCCTTTGCCTATGTTTTGAAAACTGGATTAGACTGGCGTGTGTGTGTGTGTGTGTGTGTGTGTGTGTGTGTGTTTGTGTGTGTGTGTGTGCGTGTGTGTGTGTGTGTGTAGGGGGCGTGTTGTGTGTATGTGCATACGGAGTATCGGTACTGGGGCTCAGGGCCTCGTCCTCTCCCTTGGTCTTTTCACTCAGGCTGGCATTCTGCCACCTGTGCTCCACTTCCATTTTATGAATGTGGCTCTTGAAGGAACCAAATGCCTTTAAGAGGTTCTCCTGTGCTCATTCGGGTCCCCTGATTTGCTAGTTGTGTTCTTCACTCTTAACAGGTCCTTTACTGGGGTGGAAGATTTTCATTAAATTGGTCTGCTACACTTTGCACTTTCAATGGGAGC